AAAGAGGGCCAAGGGGACCCTGTTGGCTCAGATCCTGCCTCATCCCTGAGTTGTGCCATTTCCCAAGGTTTTCTGACGCGGCCATGTGGAGGCACGGTGTTAGCCATGCGCCCAGCCAATGAGCTAAATAAAATCTAGCATCCAACTCTCTCACATCCAGCCAAGAGGAAGCATGGACCCCAAAACGAAATACTCTCATATCTTCTTTTCCTGCATAACTGCCATAAATAAAAGCCAAATAGAGACAACTTTTGAACCCCCCTCTTCGGAATACTTTCCCCCTCCACAATGTCTTACCTCCTACATCCAGATCCACCTTGAAGTGGGCACTGTGGGTGTGGACGGTGCCCAGCGTGTGCTCTCCAACCTGGTTTCCGTAATTTCGGGCAGCACCAAAGAGGAATGCTGAGCTGATATAGCCTGTGGCACGCATTTTGACTTCTATGGCTCCATTGGGGTGGAAGACCATATCCCACACATAGTCGTAGTTGAGCAAGGTGGATACAGATCTGAAGACCAGCACTGTCTCTGTAAGGCCCCCAAAATACTGCGAGTGGAAATCTGAATGGTGTCGCCTCACGGGGAGACCCTGATTCTGTTCAAACACACAAAAGGCATCTCGTATCGTCTTGGGGGTTTGGGACTCCAACAGGTAGTGCCAGTCCACGTAGGTGGCCAGGTAGGGACAGTCCACCCCACGGGTCAGGGGCGTGGCGTACTTGCCCATGCCAAAGCTGCCATCAATGTAGCGGGTCATCATTGCTGCGGGGGAGTTTCCACCATAGATGGCCAGGGCCTCCTGGACGCTGATCTCATAAGCTAGCCGTTCTCCCTGGAAGCGGAGGTCAAAGATCCTCGGGCCACTGAATGCTCCAAGACCAAAAGAGAAAGTCCACAATGAGGAGGCCACTCGACTCCCCTGGACACTGAAGCGGGGGCCCTCAGGATGGAACTGCAGAGGGGGAGCCGGACCCCGGGGCACCTGGGACTTCAGAGACCAGGCCCCACCTGTGCCATTGTCTGGGATCGGCACCATATTCACCAGGTGGGCCTCAAACTGGGTCTCCAGCTGAGCCAGACTCTTATAGTAGCGGCCTTGAAAGAACACCTTCTGGATGGTCCAGCGGGCAGGGTCCAGAGCCTTGTGGTCTACCAGCAGCTCCAACCCCACGGGGTGCAGGAAAAACCCAGCCCCTGAGATGTTGTAGTAGAGGCCAAACCAGGTGGCCCGGTCCCCTGATTGCAAACCCCGGGGGGCTGTGGTCATCGTGACTAGCTTCCTTCCTTGGTGCTTGTAGAAGCAGCAATGGTGGAGGAGACCAGCAGCCTGGGGCAGCTCTCTGTCAAAGATCATCTGGTCTATGTCCAGGTACTCTCGGATGAGCACGGGGCGTCGGTGATAGGGCAGGGGACCCCCATGACGCTCCACAGTCACATCCCGCATGTAGGAGGGGTGGGGCAGTGGTCCCACCACCAGCTCACTCACATTGGGCTGGGGTTGTCCGCCAAAGAAGACGATGGCCAGTGCCTCCCGGGCGGGTGGGGGGCTCCCCCTGTCCAGGTGTGCCAGGGCTGCAGCCTTGGGGGGCAGCTGCAGCTCCACGGAGAAGATGCAGTTGTCTGATGGGAGGGCCTGGGCTGCATCCACCAGGCCTGGCCCCAGCTGCTGGGTCAGAAAGCTCATCACAGCCGTCAGCTCCTCTTGGCTCAGGTCTGCAAACAGCTGGCTCTGGCCAGGGTGTGTCCAGTGCTGGGCACTGGGAGATATGGAGGGGCAGTGGGGAGGCAGGCTGGGTTCACCCCCATCTCCTCCCCTGCCAGCCAGCAAGACACAAACCAAGGCAAAGATGGTGATGACCGCCAGAGTGAGGAGCACCAGGGTTGTCTTCTGGTTCATTGTCTTGTGAACGAGGATCAGACGGTTAAACAGGAATGGAGGTGTGTGTTCTCAGGTCAGCAGAACAGGGTCTCTCTTGGCTCCTATACTGGGGGCTCCTGGACTCTGGTTTATGTTCCCAGTATCCAGAGGCACAGGAAACTGAGGGTGGGAAGGACTGGGAAGGCTGGGGATTGGGGCGGGGCATGCCGGGGCTTGGGGCGGGCCTGATGCAGGCAGCAGTGATTTCCACAGACCTTACATGGCTTTGTCTTCCAGGCTCCAAATGGGACTCTGGGTCAGGGTTGGAACTGGGGAGAGCTGGGGTAGGGGAAGGGGGAGGGATTTCAAAATAATGTAACTGACCAGCCTGAGCACAATAATGTACCACCATTAAGGAGTGGGGGTTTGCAACCCCACACGCTCCTCAGCCCCGCTTCTTCCCCCCTTCACCCCCACCTTCGAGGGCCAGATGTTCCCTTTCCTGTAACTTGGAACTATTATTCTCCTCCCGAGGAAATCCCCACCCCCAGCCCTTCAGCTTCCCAAGCAGCATTCCTTGGCCAGCACTGTCCCCCCTTTTCTTCTCTCTTTCATTGCTACTTTCCTTGGACAGAATCCTTAATATTCTCTGGGGAATTCTAGTTACTTCAAAAGTCACATGGAAGAAATTCAAATATAAATCTTGTAATATTTTTTATAAATTGCACATAACATCTATTTTTTTTAATATATTTTTATTGATTTCAGAGAGGAAGGGAGAGGGAGAGAGAAATAGAAACATCAATAATGAGAGTGAATCATTGATTGGCTGCCGCCTGCACACCCCACACTGAGGATTGAGCCTACAACCCAAGCATGTGTCCTAACCCACAATTGAACCATGACCTCCTGGTTCATAGGTCGATGTTCAACCAATGAGCCATGCCGGCCGGCCGGGACATACCATCTATTTTTACAAACTTCTATCCTTCCATTTCAATGCACCTGATGAAAAAACATCCGGTATAAAGGTCATCAAATGTGAACACTAGCTATTTCGGAGTGGTAGGATTTGTGGTGGTTTTGCCTGAATATTTTTTTTAAATATATTTTTATTTATTGGAGCTGCTGGTAGACCACAAGGCTCTGGACCCTGCCCGCTGGACCATCCAGAAGGTGTTCTTTCAAGGCTGCTACTATAAGAGTCTGGCTTAGCTGGAGAGTCTGCCCCAGGCTGATGGTCTCCTCCACCACTGCCGCCCATAGAAACATCAGTGATGAGGAAGAATCATTGATCAGTCTCCTCCTGCACACCCCACTGGGGATCAAGCCGGCAACCCAGGCATGTGTCCTGACTAGAATCTAACCCTGACCTCCTGGTTCATAGTTCGACACTCAACCACTGAGCCACGTTGGCCTGGCTTGCTTGAATATTTTAATAATAATATCATTTGCATAAATTCATCATTTTAAAAAAAGACACTGGAAATATGAATTAACTAAAAGGATACATGGTTTAGTGTGGGAAGGGGCTGTTTCCTCTGAAACATTAAGAGGGTAGAAGTCAGGGGAGCAGGAATTGGGAAGGTACATATGAGAGAGGAAGGTACATATGTCTTAGCACCCACCCACCCTAACTCTGTGTCCCACCACACCCTTGGGGTTAGAAGTCTTGATAAGAGAAAGGCGGCAAGTCTGGAACACAGGCTGCCAGGTGGGGGATGCAGGCCACAGGGTTGACTTGGCAGAGCCCAGCATCCTGGCCCTTCTCAAAGTAGACACTGCCAGGGGAGAAGATGGAGGGGTCCTCATCAAAGAAGTTATAGGGTCGAAGCAAGAAGCCAACTCTGTTCCCCACAGTAACTGTGTTGGGGACATCCTCAGCATGGGGGATGTGTAGGAAGCTGGCTGTAACCCAGGCCACCAGGTCCTGCAGGAAGAGGGAGGAGCTGGAGGACTTTGGAGGTAAGACCCAGAGAACCACCCTTAGCCACAATCCCCGCCCTCCAGCCTTAGCCCTGCTTCCACCTCCTCCCAGCCCCAGGTCCACAAAACGTGGTGATCTATGTAGGGTGGTCAATACCCCAGAGCTAATCTCACCCCAGGAGGGATGACCCATGTTGGTCATCAGAGAACTCCTTGACTCCTGAATCTGAGCCCTGGAAACACATCATCCCTCCAATCTAGGGCCAGGTGTTGGGCAGCCAAGACACCAGACACAGAAGAGCCCCTCTCCTCTGTCTCTAGATCTACCAACCTCTCCTAAGAGAGTCTCATTGTTGATGAAATCAGCAAAGGCAATAGTGGGTGTCCAGATGTCATTCTGGTAATAGATGCTGCTGCTCTGTGACTCCTCCTCTTTCCTCCGGGTCACCGCGAGCTGGTATCTGACCAGGAATGTCATAAGAAGGTGGAGTCAGACAATGTCAAAGACGTTTCCTGTCCCAGAAATCTTTTGGATCAGATTCAGACTGAGACCATCTCCCATCCCATATCTATCTGGATCTGAGAGGGGGTACAGGGGTGGATAGTAAGCCAAGAATAGTGAGTTGGGGTCTCCAAGAGCTGGGATGGGGAAGGGGACCGGTCCTTCCCTACCACCCCAGTGCCCAGGGCCCTCCTCACCTCCCCCAGCTGAGGGCCTTCTCCATGTCACTCTCCAGGGGCATGTGTATGCCGAGGGGGCTGTGGATCTGGATTCGGTACCCACGCTGGTGACCCCAGGCATTAGTCTGGTTGCCAGCCAGGTAAATGTAGCGAGGAAGGGGATTTCCCAAGGAAAAGGCTGTCAGGTCCTCCCTTCCCAGGACCTGTCGAGTCAGCTGTGGACGCTGAAGTTGGTGCTCTGGACTCCAAGGGGCTGCCACAGGTTTAAACACCACGTCTTCAGCTACCACCCAGTTTTTCAGCCCTGCCAGGGTGAGGGGAGGGAGAGGAGTTCCATACCAGGTAAGACAGGCTCCTCATCGCCCCCGCCATGAACACTGCACCGGCCTGACAAAGGGCAGAGGAACTCATCCGAGAGCCAGCAGCTCTAGATTGGGGAGCTAGCCCATCTTCTCCAACCCTGCCCTGTCCAGCACAGTCACTGCCAGTCACAACAGCTATTTGCATTTAAATTAAAAATTCAGTTCCTCAGTCACACTAGTCACATTTTAAGTGCTCAATAGCCACCTGTGGCTAGTGGCTAATGTACTGGACAATGCAGAGATAGAACATTTCCATTACTGCAGAAAGTTCTAGTAGCACTGGTCTACCCTTGGACAAATTATTTGCTGCTTTGATTCTCATTTTCCGAATCTCTACACTGGACATAATTAAAGCTGTTCTATGGTTGAGCTCTGTAAATGGAAAAACACACGCAGGTGGCTAGTAACTATGAAAGGGACATTTGTCTTGGAGAAGCTGCCTGGAAAAACCCAATCCCCTTCCATGGTGCTCTGCACACCCCTCTCAGCTCTGAGAATTTGCTTTCTTTCTCTCAACAAGATGGGGACCACTTTCAGTGTTTTTCAGAAGTGAACAGATTTATGTCCTTAAATTGAGAACTCCTTGGAACTCTATTGCATTGATCACCTGAACTCATCACCGCACACACAAGGCACCTGATCACATACTTGGACTCAGTTACTTTAAACAGGACCTATATGAAGACAGCTGGCTTAGGGGGGCACTCTACTAAACCCGGTGCCTCTGCTGGTCATCTTGTACACAGGGGGCCTAACACAGCCTCCACCCCACAGCACCAACCTGGGCTGTACCCACTAGAGACCCAATAAATGTTACTTGATTTTACTTCCTGACAAGGCTCTTTGATAGCAAAAATGCTGGCTAAACTCCAAATCAGAAAAGTCCTATTCTAAATATGTAAAAGGATTGTTAATATGCCATTTCAACCATGCTATTTTCTTAATTCTTCCTCCCCTCTGCCTCCACATCACCACCCCCCCCGTCCCCCGAGCCCTAGATGAATTAAAAGAGCAAATATTTAAATGCTCTCCATATGTCTTGAGACCCAGGAGAATAAGAAAATGTTTCACAAGAAATATCCTTAGTTATAGCACATTATACCTGGATAATCATTTTGTCTCATCTCCACCCACCCTCAACTTTCCTAACTGTAAAATGAAGAGGGTCTGGTGGATTTCTCATTTTCTTTCTGGGTCTAATTGTCTGATTTGATAAGTTAGTTATTGTCTGTCCCCAACAAAACGTGTCAGGAGCAGCAAGTCCTCTTTGTGCTCTGAGCCCTACTTGAGAACTCCCTTGCAGCAAGCCTGCTGTGTGCTTGCCATGACACCGGAGAGCCCATTGTGATGACATGTGCTGACAGGAATGGGATGCCCCCCCAGGATGGGGCCCTATCCTGTATCCCCAGTTGTCTGAAATCCTGTGGAGCAACTCCCCGCTAGCACCCGCCTTCTCATGCCCCTGGACCACCTCTGCTCTGAAGACCTCTTGAGATGGGCTGCTTCCTGCCTCTGCTCAGGTCCCTGCTTTCCCCTCCTCCACAGACTCAGAATGAGGAAGAACACAGACAGCCCCAACTCTGGTCCCATTCAGCCTCAGGGAAATTCACCACGCACACTGTCACTCAAGGTTAAGGTGGACAGGCACAGCCTTTACATTAAACTCACTTCACAATGGCAGCAAGTCAGAGGGGCTGGGTGACCAGAGCTTGGCGGAGGAACCCTCTCTCCCTTCTGCCACACTCGGTAAGCCCAGTATTTCAGACTGACTACAGCTGAAAACCCTAAAATCAGTCTGTTCTGTTGCCACAATGAATGTGGAGCTGGAATGCTACTCTGCTCCTCAGGCTTGATCTGGGGGTGGGGAGTCTGTTCCCTCTGCCCCACCCCAACTCTCAATTTTAATTCCCTGAGCACTCACCTGCTACATCCAGGTCCAGCTTGAAGTGGAAGGCATGTGTGTGCACCGTCCCCAGCACTCGTTCCCCCACACGGTTCCCGAAGAGGAGGCTTTCCTCTCCCCCACTCAGGAAAGCTGTGTTGACAAAGCCTGTGGCATGGACCCGCCCTTCAAGCGCCCCATTTGGGTAAAATACAAAGTCCCAAATGTAGTCATAGTTGCCTACAGTTGACACAGACCTGACTACAAGAGCTGAGCTGGCTAAACCACCGTAGAAATGACTCTGAAGGTGATTGTAGTGCCTTCGAAGGGGTAGTCCTTGGGCCTCCTCAAATATACACACAGCCCCTGGGAGCAGCTGGACGGCCCCTTTGTTCACTAATACGTGGATGTCCACCATTGTAGATTGATAGGGGCAGTCCACACCCCGCACCAAGCCCCGGCTGTTTCGGCCAAGTCCATAGCTGCTATCCAAGTATCGGGTCATCATTGTCTTGGGTGAATCAGCACCATAGATAGACACACACTCCTGGACACTGACTTCATAGGCCACTCGCTCACCCTGGAATCGAACGTCAAAAATCCTCATGCCACTAAACACCCCATGACCAAAAGTAAATGTCCAGAGGGAGGACATCACCAGGTTCCCTTGTACACTGTATTGGGAGCCCTGGGGTGAGAACTGAAGAGGTGGAAGAGGACCTGGGGGGACCCGAGACCTCAGGGATGAAGCCCCATTTGGCAGGGGCAGAGGAACTCTAACCACTTCCAGCCGGCCAGCCTTAAACTCCCATTCCAACTGGCTCAAGTCTGCATAGTAGCGCCCAAGGTAGAAGACCTTCTGGACAGCCCAGCGGGTAGGGTCCAAGGCCCTGTGGTCCAGCAGTAGCTCCAGCCCCACTGGATGTAGGAAAAACCCAACACCTGAGATGTTATGGTGAAGGGCTATCCAGGAAGTACGGTCTCCTGAGCGCAAGCTATTAGGAGTGGCCTGCAGAGGTACCAAGGTGGAGCCATTGTAGCTGAAGACCGAAGCAAGGAAGACTGGTGCCTTGGGTAGCTCCACCTCTTTCAAATGCTTCCATATCTGGGCAAACTCAGTTCCCAGCATGGGACGTCGGTGATAGGGCAGGGGACCGCCATGACGCTCCACAGTCACATCCCGCATGTAGGAGGGGTGGGGCAGTGGTCCCACCACCAGCTCACTCACATTGGGCTGGGGTTGTCCACCAAAGAAGACGATGGCCAGTGCCTCCCGGGCGGGTGGGGGGCTCCCCCTGTCCAGGTGTGCCAGGGCTGCAGACTTGGGGGGCAGCTGCAGCTCCACGGAGAAGATGCAGTTGTCTGATGGGAGGGCCTGGGCTGCATCCACCAGGCCTGGCCCCAGCTGCTGGGTCAGAAAGCTCATCACAGCTGTCAGCTCCTCTTGGCTCAGGTCTGCAAACAGCTGGCTCTGGCCAGGCTGTGTCCAGTGCTGGGCACTGTGGGATACAGAGGGGCAGCTGGAAGGCTGGCTGGAACCCCCCTGGCTGGACAGCAAGACATAGGCCAGTGCAAAGATGGTAATAAGGGACAGTGCCAGGAACACGAGGACTACCTTGACATTCATGGTGAATGCTGCAAGTTGAAATGAGAGTCCTACCAGCTGCTTCTTCCAGTTACTGACATCAAATCAGGGTTTATATTCAGTAGGATGGATAGGAATGGAGAAAACTCCACCCTGTGGGTTGAACAGGAAATTTCTGACCTTGATTTATATAATTCTGTTCCAATTTTCTGTTCTGTGGTTTGGCCCAAAGCACTACTTCCATGTGCATGGCATCTCCCCTGCCCCTGAACTACTGGCAGCATGATTTCCATCATTTAGACCAGATTAGAGGGCATTTGAAGTACCGCTGAACTGCACCTTCCACTCAAAACGGGTCTGAGGAAGAATGCAAATCCCGGATGCCTAATCAAGTCCTGTGTGCTGAACGCAGGCACCAACACTGTCCGTTTCCCACCCCCCTGGCAGGCGCTATCCCCCAATATTTCCAGGATCCACTGCCTAGTTCAGCAGTAAGCACTGTGCTCAGCCAGCTGCCTAAGGTCAAGCCCCTGACCTGTAGTCTCAGGCCTCTTCTACCTAGTTAGTGAGAAAGGAAGAGTGAAGGCCTGAGCTTAGCAGTCAGATTCCCCGGTCCCTAAGCTGTGACCTCAGGGGAGGTACATATCATGAGTCTACGTCCCCACTTATAAATGCATAAAACTACCTTATAGATTCATGAAGATTAACTGTGATCGTGCATATAAAGTGCTTAGCAGAGCTCAACACAGGAGAGGCATTCAAAAACTGTTACCTACTGATTATTTCTGAAACAGAAGAGAGCAGATGTTCCTCCGGTGTTTAAGACCTTAAATCTCTTTTTGCAGACAACGAGGGAATTACTGGAAACCAGAAGGCTACTTGATAAGGTGGAAGTTGAGGAAATTTTATTTCAGAGGGAGGTAGAGTCCTAGACAGCCCTCCAAGTCATTTGAAAACCAAAACCAAGAGCCCCTGCCATCTCCTTAAGAAATTTAAGACATTATTCTGAGGGGAGAATTAGTATAAGGTAACGAGAATGACACGGTAGATTGCGCCTTGAACCAGGTGATTCCCACGTGGAACTAGAGCAGCCTCTACTGGCAGTTCATGGGTATCACCGGGGAAGGAAGGATCTGGGATCTTGTTGAGGGCTGGGACAGAAGGCAGCTGAGATTTGGGAAGAGCTCTCTTTCACATAATTCAGGCTTAATACAAATGAAGGACCCACCTTTCCTCTTGTAGGCAGAAACCTCAATCTTTCCATTATTCCAGAAAAAAAGAGGAAGCATAATTGGTATAAAAACGCCCAATAGGATGGTTGGTGGTGTATGTGGGGGTGGGTATCCCGATGCACACACATATGGGTACGTCCCTAGCCACCAGAGCATCTCATCAAGGTCTGCGGCTTTAGAAAGAGGTCAAAGTACCTGTATTTTTAATAATTTCTTGACATGGTAAAAGAATTTTACATTACGATCCAAGGGTGGTGGGGTGAGGAGAAGGGGCAGCAGAACAATCCAACAAACAAAAAGGGAAACAAATGCATGGTGGAAGGGATTTGAAGGGTGGGTAGGGGCATTGCCCAACTAAAATGCAATTGGTTTGTTACTGAGTACTATTCATGGGAAGACAGCATCCTGACTCCTTCTCTATACAGTATATTGGGAGTAAATATGATGTATCGAGGTGGAAATATGATTAGGGGTTGGAAGACAGACGGGAAGAATAAGTCAGAAATAGACACTGAGAGAGTCACTGGCTGGCGGGCTGCAAATACTGACTCTCCAATAGTGATAGAATAAAAAAGTGGGGGATATCTCTGGAAGATTTGAGAGATAGGGGGCAACTCTTCTATGGTTTTGACTTGCCCAGATTTCCACATACACATGTGTACACACCTGTGTTTGCATGCACACACGTAGACACATAAGTGACTGCCCTCCCTGGAAGCACAATACTATAAATCAGAGAAATATTTTTCCCAAAGGAAAAGCCCAGGAGCAGCAGCAGCAGCTGGTCCTCACAGCTGAAGACACCCCCACCCCAAATGACAGCTGGTCTGGAAAGAGGCAGTCAGGAGTCAGAGGACTGGCCTTTGCAATAATGCCCAAAAGGACCTGAGTCACAGAGAAAGGAGCCTTCCCCAATCCCTCTGCTTCTCGCCTCTTGGTTCTCCTCCAACTCAACAGCCTCTGGGTACCAAGAGGCTACAATATCAGGAGACGATGGGCCCCGGTGGATGATGACTGAGACAACTATCACCTCCTGACGTGTGCGTGTGTGTGTGTGTGTGTGTGTGTAACAGGTTTTTTTGGGGAGGCCGGGGGAGGTGTCAGGTAACAGAGTAGGAAGGCAGATGTGTGCGTCTGTATGTGTGTGTCCATCATGCACATAAGTGTATGTGAAAATTCTACTTATAAAAACATCTGAAGGACTTAGGGACTTAGCCAAAGTCTGTGGTGTTTCTTGCCATGTATGTAGATGGAAAACCTGAAGTCATCACCAGGACAACTGGGACAGGGAGGATCCAATATCCCACATTGACAAGAGACACTACCCTTATATCAGAAGAGAGGAGCTTGTCTCCCTGACCCCAGATCTTAGAAAAAAACAAAAACCTAGCACTTTCCTTTTAGTTCCCTCAGCTCCTAACAAACTAATCATCAAAAGGAAAAAAACAACACAAAGCCCACGACAAAGAAGGGGGTGGGGAAAGAAAACACAAGTATTCTGGTGCCAATATCTTGTGCACACAAACCTGGAGTTCTCCAGAAATTAGAACAGCTCAGGTGTGGGGTATTAGGGAAGGAAATAGAAGAGTTCCTGAGGCCTGAAAAAAGAGGTAAACACGTCACAGAACTACATGAGAGTTTCATTAGACTCTAACTAAAAACAGAGAGAGGTGTGATTACTATTTCCAGCCAGTTTCCCCATCACGATAGTCATGTAACAAACCAAGGCAATGTCGGTCTTGAGCCAGACTCACAGAGTCCCCTGGCCCTGGCCCTGGCCTCAGTACAGTGTCTCTGCATTGCTGCTCCGGGGCCGTTTGATCTTCTCAATATTTTTCAGGATCATGTCATGTAGGGTGACCTGGGAGAAAAGAGATCAGAGAATCACACATCTGTTCAACCCCTACCTCAAAAAGAAAAGATCCCTCCCAACCAATTACCCAAGTAATCATTTACATAATCCCATTCTCACTCATTTGATCCTGAAATCAAGGTGGTTGCTCTCCCTCTCTTATGCCCCCAAACTAGGTATACTGGGTATTTCCAAGTCCCCGAGTGTCTAATAATAATTAACATTTGTGGAACACTTAAGAAGTGCACTGGGTCCTTTAATGTATTATCTCACTAATTTTTTAAAACCATCTTTGTGCAGTAGATACTCTAATATAAGTTTCATTTTAGAGATGAAGAAACCCTGAAGTCTGAGGTTAAACAACTCGCCCAAGGCCACACATTACCAGTAGAGTTGATTCCAAACCTAAGTCTGCCTGACTCTAACAACTTCATCCTCACCTCTCTACTATATTGTACTCCCTCTCATCCAGGTGGAAAGAAGGAAGATGCCCAGCTATATATCCTCAACTCCATAGTTCTCAACACTTGGTTGATAAGCAGAACTTGTTTTATTAACTTTACCTCCGTCCCCAATCTCGACTCACAGAGAGTGGCAAGAAATTTATCACCAGAACTAAGAGCCAGGGCAACTGTTGGCAGGGATTGAGGTTACTTACATATTGATTCCTTAGTTCTGATATGATGAGACGGAGGCTGATATATTCTTTCTCATCAATCTCTGTCACGGTTCGGCGATAGTCCTCCTGAAAGAAGGGGCAGAGGAAAAGCTTGTTCCCAAGGCCCAACTATCCACAGCCAGCTCTTCCCCAGCAACAGTCACTCCTCCCTACCCTTCCACCCTCAGGCCACCAAACCCTTACTTACCACATGGGGATATTTAGCTATTTTAGAAACCAATTTGGCTCTTGTAATATAATATCTGAAAGGAGAAAAAAGAAGAGGAAGCTGCAGGAGACCCTGGACAGTGCTTACCACCTCACCAGCCCCCAATTCCTGGGCCAAGTCCAAGCAGCCCTACCTAGAAATCTGGTCCAGATAAGATGCAGCTTCACTCTCAACAGTCCTTAGTTCTGCAACTGTCTCCTCCTGAAAAACAAACAAACAAAAAAACACGGTGAGTCAAAATCACTTCCACATCACTCCACAGCAGACCAAAGATAAAGGAAAAGCAAACAAAGCAGGGGAGATAAGAGTATCTCCCAAACCTTCCCTTCCAGTATGTAATTACCTGAATAGATACCCCAAAGTTGTTCCCATCTTCTATCCTAGGAATCAGGAGCTGTACCCACATTTTGACCTGCAGGGTAAAAAGACCAAAATATATGTGAGGACCAAGGCTTGAGGAACACGGCTTTTTCTATTGATGCCATGAAGTATAAATTCATGCTGCTGGGGCCAGATGCCAGGAGCACAGGAGCCAAGATACTTAGTCTGCCAACACCCACATCACCTCCATGCCTCCAGCCCCACCATCCATGATTTTTCATAGTTCAAGCCGGGCTGTTTGAAGTCAGCCCATAGGTCACTAGCCCCTGCCTCACCGTGTTGCATTTCTCAATCAGCAGCCGGATCTCAGGTTTCACTTTCTCAATAATGTCCACCAGCTGCTGGTTGCTTTTTAGCATCCCATTGGGCATCACAAACACCTTGGTTCCTGGCAAGGACATGAAGAAGGCCAAATGATTGGGGTGGGGGCCAGGACATAGCATCCTCCACCCTTCCCTCTTCTTCCCAGATTCATGAGATGCTATGACCTCTGCCTTTTATCTGTCACAACAAACACTGACACCACCAACAGAACCGAAGAGAAAATATGGATTAACAAATGAGTGTCTAAAATATGCCCAAAGTCTAAAGAATAAGGAAATTAAAATATGCTCTAAAGCCTGAATGTACCAACTATTATTAAAGAGGAAAAAATAACATGGAACTGGGACTTCTGTGAAAAATCTGCAATAGGCAGTGACCCCCAAGTCCTTTCCTTTGGCCAGTTTACATTAAGTTAAACCTCTCTTCTTACTGGAAAGTTAGGTTCAGGGTGCTAAAGAATGACCACATTTGGAAGATTTGAGAATGCTAACTCTGGGAAATAAAATCGGATCCTGCTTCCAGGCCAGAACACTAGATCCATCTGCCTCTCAAGGCTGTAAGCCAGAGGGTAGGTGGGGTGGGGTGGCTCTTACCTTGAAAGGCCTCTTCACACTCATCCAACCTTCGCTTTTTGTAAGTGGGCTAAGGAAACAGACAGAAATTAGCCTGCTCTCAACATTCCCATCCCTATCACAAGTTATACTTTAAACAAGTTTAATCCCTTCTTTGACACCATAGGTTATCCTATATAATAAAAGGCTAATATGCAAATCAACCAAACTGCAGAAAAACCGTCACTATGATGTGCACTGACCACTAGGGGGAAAGCGCTCAACGCAGGAGCTGCCCCCTGGTGGTCAGTGTGCTCCCACAAGGGGAGTGCCGCTCAGCCAAAAGCTGGGCTCAAGTGGTGAGCGCAGCACTAAGGATGCCCCACTGACGGCTTAGGCCTGCTCCCTGCAAGGACATCCCCAGAGGGCTCCCAGACTGCGAGAGGGTGCACCGGGCCTCTAGTTTTATTATTTTGTGCAAGTTACTAAGTACATACAAGGCTTTAAGAAAAGGTTCTTGCTAGAAAGCAAGTTACATTCTAGTTGTAAGACCAACCTTTCAAGAAATACAACACATTAAGCAACTAGAGAGGGATAGCCAGAGATTCTCAATCCTTTCCATCTCATGGCACACAAAAACTACTAAAATTCTGTGGCACACCAAAAATATATTTTTTGCCTATCTGACCAAAACAAGGCATAATTTTGATTCATTCACACTGGAAGCCATTGTTGTGTTGGCTGTGTCATTTTTTTATTTGACAATCTCAGGGGAAAGAGGCCAGTGCCCCTGACTAAATAGTCAGGAATTGCATGTTTCAAAAATTCTTACAGTACATCAGTTGAAATTGGCTGCTATAAACAATAGGAAAAAAGAACCTTTCAATATAGGGTAATTAAGGGAATATACATAAATCTGCTGGTTCCACAAAGAAACACAATATTCAATCAACAAACACATATTCAGCACCTGTTACGTACCAGAAACAATGCTAGGTGCTGGGAATACAAAGATGATTAGGACAGTTTCTGCTTTCCAGAACCAACAAGTTCTAACAAGGAGACAATAATGTAGACAAAGAACAATGCAGCATCATCAGTGCTTCAGAATGTGAACATTAATTGATAAGGACTAGGTAATGAAGATGCACAGCAAACACAGGGGCTGCAGTTACATATCAAGAAGAACTACTCATTCAATAACAAGACTCAAGACAGTGAAACATGGAACAGATAAGAAAGTCTCGCTGAGAGCCATGGAAACAGACCCAGATAACTTAAGGGAGCCTGTGGCTATTAAACTCACTCTCACACAGAGTAGCATTGGCAAATTCACCTCATGCTATACATGAAAATCAGGATCTACAGGGGGGTGGTGTACTGGAGTCATCATGTCTGTAAGAATCCTCATTCCCAGATCCAAATCCTACTGTCTCCTTTGTACATATTCAAACTGACCAGGGAAGAGAGGACAGAGAACCTATTGCTACAGAAGACAAAGATAAATATAGGACACTTACACCATCCAGTCCATCGTGGCTATTGGTGAGAAGAATGGGGTCAGGGACAGGGAGATTCATGTCTGAGTGGATCTGAGTTAGGTCATGAATGTTTAGGATTGGTTCCTGAAAAAGAGACGCCCACCCCCCCACACATTAGTCTTTTCAAGATGAACAAGTAAATATTTCCTGTGAAGGGCAAGATATGAGAGTGCTTTACAGTACCAAACAAAATGGAACCAACACTTGATGTGTCCCATTTGACAGAAAGACAAAATAAAAACAGTTCCCCCCCCCCCCCCCCCCCAAAAAAAATTGGGAAAGATGAGGAAAAGGGTCTCTCACCTTCAAAAAACTATCAAGTTCTAACAACTTCTTTGGGAAAAAATTTGCCACCAAGTCTTCTGCCTAAAGATGAGAAGAAATGCATTAAAATTGTGGGATGGTCTCTCTCAGCAGTTATCTCCCCTTTGGGAAACTCCCGATTATCAACCAACACTCGTTTTGCTATTTATTTCACTCACCTCACTTGTGATCCGCTCCCTGAAAGAATCAACCTAAAATTAACAAAGAGCAATTCAGTAAGAGCAAGTCAGTACCTGGCATCAGAGGTTAAGGGCAGGACAGGGAAACCCAAATCCAGCTGTCCCTCCCTCACCTTGTAATGGTAGTGAGAAGCGGAGAGGCCCCCGGACTGCAAGTACTTTATTTTTTTGAGGACCCATTTCTCCATCTCAGGAGAGGGAAGCGGGGCTGGAGGGCGGCCCCCACTTGTCTTCCCTCTCTCCCTCCCTGTGTGTGAGGCGGTCTGAGTGTGTGAGCAGACGGAAGGCCGGTAGATAGGGGAGGTGTGAGCTCACAAACGTGCCCGCCGACTCCCTTCCAGACCTGACCTAAGATGCGAGGCAGGCCTGACTCCAAGGACAGCGGCAGCGTCCGGAGGCGGGGCTGGGGAACTTCCAGCTGTCACTAGCCTCAAGCACTGAGTCCACCACGTGTCCGCGGGGCTCTCCATCACCAGACAGGGGGCAGAAAGCCATCCTATATGATCCTCTCCCCGGATGCGGTCTCCGGGAGGAGGGGGGGCTGGGCTGAGCTGAGCGGAAGCTCAGAGCTGGTGTCCCCAGGGAGACAAAGACGCCATGGGGAGTAGGGAGCCGGTCAGAGCGCTCCGAGATCGAAGCGAGGGGTAAGGAAGCCCGGGCCGGTGTCGCTACCTTGAGCTTCACTTCCTGATCCACCTTCAGCAACGAGGCCATGGCCGGGCAGGGCCGTGTTCGCTCCGCTGGAGACCGGAGGCGCTGTGGGCTCCGGGGAGGGGGTCAGAGGGACGGGAGTTATTTCGGCGGCTCTCGGGACGCGGCTGCCTTCGCTGGCTCACGGACTGCTCACTTGCTCGCTCGCTCCCTCCCTCTGTGCCGCCTGCCCGCCCGCCCGCCTGCTGCCTGCTGCTGGATGCCTGCTTGCACTATCGCTTGCCCTCCCGGCTTTCGCCGCTCTCGCCGGAAGTTGCGTCACAGCCAGGCGCCGGGACTCCGGCGTGGATGCGCGCGTGCTTTGCGCAGCCGCACTGAGGTTTGGCTGTCGGCGCTCCTTCCAGGCTCGTAGCTCTCGGGTGCCAGTGCCGGGTAAGAAGAGAGTTCGAGGGAGGGTGGCGGAGGCTGGCTTACTGAGAACGGAGTCCCGGAGAGACTCGGGAGCTGTGTGACTCTCTGCTGGCTCGGCTCTAGCCTTCGCCGGAGGAACCTAAGGAGCTCTGCTGTTTGGAGGACTGGACCGACGGTGGCGTCGCGCCCCGGTGACGTCAGACCGAGGAAGCTGG